TGGAACTAAGCATGGTCATGAGCAAAGGTCGCCATGAGTTTAGGCTGTATACAGTCACAGGGACAACCTGTGCTTGGAAACATCTTTGAATATCAGAAGTGAGATGGCATGTGATCTGAAGCAAACCCACTCCTATTTACTACACCTGGGAGGGGCACGAAAACTCCAAGAGCAACCCACATTATGGAGGGACAGAGGTCACAAGACTCTTCTTACAAGTTCTCAGACGTCTGCTCACACAAAGTCACTTATGAATGGTGTTCCAACAACCACCTGTGGCACTGCCTAGCTATAGCACATACTGATGAGCTGAGAAAGGGGAAAGGCTGTGGGTTTGGTCCCGTCTCACTTGTAAACAACATTCTGGCTGTTTGGTTTTATGATTCAGTAAGTTTGCTGGCAAACTGTTCCTCACAGTCAAGACTTTAGGTTTTTTGTTTTAGGGGTTTTTGTTTGTTTGTTTTTGTGCTCTTGGTGCCAATTTGTGAAGAAATCTTGAAAAGAGGCCAAATGGAATTTGAAGAGGTGTGGCCAGATTAGAGACTCCACTGCGTAGCATTTCAGCTGTAATCGAAGGCAGACTGGGAGGGGGAATGGACAGCTCATCTAAGAGGACCTCCCAGGGTAGAGAAGGAATCTGACCGAGTCCAGAAGGAACCCAACAATCAAGCTGAGAGGTGCTGCTTTCAGTCTTGGTCTGTTGTTTTTAACTATGTGTTCTATTTACCAGTAAGGCTTGGGAGTCACAGATACTGGTTCAAAAGACAAGAGATAAGAGAAAATGGGGGTAATGTGATCAAAGTACTACACACACACACACACACACACACACACACACACACAAGTGGTGAAAAATAAACAGTTTTGTTTTTTAAGTCTTAAGAGAAGTCAGGTACATTCAGCTTGCTTGTCATTTGCTGAGTAATTGTTTGGTTATGTGACAAGAAAGTTTGTTTTGCTTGGCAGAGGAATTCCTTTGTTTCCATTTCTGAGTGACCTGGTTTGCATTCATGGTTTTAGATTTTTGATGCAATCTTTATCTCCATGTTTGATTTATGAGAGTCCTTTGGACTCTTCTTGGTGTGGAAGGGAGATCATTAATAAGAGACCATAAAATGGGTCAGCCTCCCTCTGGGAAATCCTCACAAGTATTTCCAGGCTTTCCAGACTGCTTGCTTCTTAACCCATAGCCTGACTTCACAGAGCTACAGAATTTGCCAGATCTAGGTAAAGAAATACACTTCTGAGTACAAGAGGCACACAGAATGCCAAGCACATAGATCACTTCACACTGATTAAGGAAACAACCCCTCAAGAGTGCATTACTGCTGTAAACACACATGCACTAGACATAGCTGTACCCACTTTCATAAAACAAATACTAGATATGAGTTACAGATTAACCCAAGACAGTTAAAGAGTTGGTGACTTCAGTATCACACTCTTAGCAATAAATAGGTCATCATACCAAAAAGAAACAGAAACACCAGAGTTAAATGACATCTTAGATCAAATGAACCTGTCATCTATAGAGTATTCCAACCCAAAATACAGAATACACATTATCTTCAATAGCCCATGGAACACAGTGGATTAAAGCTAGAAATCAATAACAAGAGAAACTACACAAAGCACACTCATCTATGGAAATTAAACAATGCACTATGGAATGCTGAATGGCTTATCATAGAAATAAAAAAGTTACAAATATTTCTAAAATTGAACATAAATGAAAACACAGCATATTCATACTTGCAGGATACAAGGAAAGCAATCTTAAAAGGAAGTTCATATCTGTGAGTGCCTACATTAAAAATTGAGGTATCTAAAATAAACACTTAATGGTGCATATAAATCACATAAATAGGCTTTAAGGAAGAAACTGCATGAACATCTCAATAGATGAAGAAAAGACTTTTAACAAAAAATCTGATATTTCTTCATAAGGAACACACATCAGCACAATGAAGGCTTTGCGCAATAAGCCAACAGTCAGCATTGTAGGAAAGGGGGATACAAACATTTAGTTGACAATCTGGAGTAAGGGTGCCCACTTTACTCACCCTTATTCAAGACAATATTTGAACAGTCTTAGCTAAAGCAATAAGATAAGAGAAAGAAATAACAGGGATACAAACATGAAAGTAAGATATCCAAGTATTCTTATTTGTAATATACAGTTGATGCAATCTCCTTCAAGATTTCAAAGGCATTCTTCACAGAAGTAAAAAAAATTAAATTCATTTGTAAGCCACAAAATACCTGGGATAGCCTAAGCTAAGCCATCTGAGCACAAAGGATGCTGGAGTCATTCATCACCTGCCTGATTTCAAGTTAGACTACAGAACTTTAGAAATACAAAAGCATAGTAGTGACACAAAACTGACACATGGATCAATGGACTAGACGAGAAGACACAGACATAAATGCATACAGTTACAGTCACCTGCCTTTTATTAAAGATTCCCAAAAGACACCTCTTCAACCAATGATGCTGGGTAAACTGGATGTCCACATGTAGAAGAATGAAACTAGTTCCCTATCTCTTACCCAGCACAGAAAAACAAACAAATAAACAAATAAACCTAGGGCTGGAGAGATGGCTCAGTGGTTAAGAGCACTGGCTGCTCTTCCAGAGGACCCAGGTTCAATTCTCAGCACCCTAACGACAGCTCACAACTGTCTGTGACTCCTGCTCCAGGGAGTCTAAGAACTTCTCCTGGCCTCCACAGGAACCAGGCACTTGTGTTGTACAGACATACATGTAAACAAAGCACCCATATACATAAAATAAATTTAAAACAAGAATGAAAACAATAGAGTGAATGTGATAGAGTTGCTTCTTTGAAAAGATAAACATGATCAGCAAACTTATCTAAATAAAACAAAAGAAAGAAAACACCTGAATTAATAAAATTAGAAAGGTAAAGAGAAACAATACAATAGATACCAGTGAAAGTTGGAAAATCATTATGACATAGTTTTAAAACCTATATTCCACTAAATTGGAAATTCTAAAATAAATGAATGAATATCTATAGATGAACATTACTTTCCAAAGTTGAAACAAGATGGGATAATTGTTTAGATCTATTACAAGGAATGAGATTAAGGACTTTGACCCATCTGGAGATGATTCTGTGGTAGGATATGAAATCCTTTGGCATATGGCCAGGAGTAGTATAGTGGGTCACCTGATAATTCTATTTTTATCTGTTTGAGAAACCTTCATGCTGGATTCCATTCTATCTGTAGGAGGTTACATTCCTGCAAACAGTGAGTAGGACTCCTCTTTGGGAAGTTTTTTGCGATTCCTATATCTATGTTTTCCTCTAGCAACTATGATGTCTGTGTAGATGTCAGAGGACAACTTTTGGGAGTTCTGTATTTCAATATCCAGTTTTATTTAATAGGGTGTCTTTTTTCTGAAGTATTTTCAAAAATTAGATGACTATAATATGTCTGCTTCTGTGCCAGTATACACCATCTTTGTCACTTTAGCTCTGTGGTATAATTTGAAGTTAGGTACTGTGATGCATCTGAGTATCCTTTCTGCTTAGAAATGCATGGTCCTTTTTTGTTGTTGTTGTTTTCTTAGGATTTTTTGGGGTTTTTTTGTGGCAGTCTCTAAGTAGGCCACAATGTTCTTAAACTCACAGCGATAGGCCTGCTTCTGCATCCTGAGTGCTAGTATTAAAGGTATGCAACACCACACCCAGTACCTTGCAAATGTATGCTTTTTATAGCTCTTTGAGGAATATCATTGTAATTTTAATGGGGATTGAATTGAACCTGCACATTACCTTTGGTAACATATCCATGCTACAATAGTAATTCCGCCAATCCAGAAGCATAGATAGAAAGTCTTTCTATCATTGTATCTTCTTTTTTTGTTTTGTTTTGTTTTGTTTTTCGAGACAAGGTTTCTCTGTGGCTTTGGAGGCTGTCCTGGAACTCGCTCTGTATACCAGGCTGGCCTTGAACTCACAAAGATCTGCCTGCCTCTACCTCCCGAGTGCTGGGATTAAAGGTGTGCGCCACCAACGCCCGGCTCATTGTATCTTCTTTATTTTCTTTCTTTTTTAATTAAAATGGATTGTGTGTGTGTGTGTGTGTGTGTGTGTGTGTGTATGCATGCCATGGTCTACATGTAGAAGTCAGAGGATAACTTTGTAGAATTGGTTCTTTCCTTCCCCTGTTATCCACAAGGATCAAACTCAGGTCACAAGACTTCTACAATTAGCACCTTTACCCACTAAGGCCATTTCACCAGCTATTTAAATTTTTTCAGTGTCTTAAAAGTTTCACTGTCTCTAGAGGTCTTTCACTTTTTTAGTTAGGATAAGTCCTAGGTATTTTCCCTAATTTCTTTCTCAGCAAATGTGTTTCTATTATATATTGTAGGTGTTGGCAAATTAGAAAGCCTATTCAAGGCAAGATACTTAAAATACTTTACACTTCTGTTGCTCTAGAGCCACTTCTGGTACCAAAATCTGTTTTAGTCTGGATTTTCTAGAGAAACAAAACTTATAAAATTAATCTCTCTATGTAGAAAATCCAAGTTTCCTTCTCCCAAGTCCTTTATCCATGCTGCCAGCAGGCGTGACCCAGATTAAAGGTGGCAGGAGTGTTGAGCTGATGCAGGCTGTTAGGATTAATAAGGAACCAGGTGCCCTTGAGGTAGTTAGCTATTTGGGAAGATGAGGGAGAAGGTGGTTTTCCTGGTAAACAGAAATTGGTTTTACATGATTCCTGAGGAAGGCTGAATTTAGGCTTCTGTTTATCCAGTCAGAGTCTGAGGTAAAAGTTCAACACATAGCATTGATGATATGGGGAAATCAGGGTACCTGTCAGCTTGGCAGAGGCTTTCTCTCTTGCCTTTAACTTGGTAGGTAGGGTTCTGGATGCTCATGGTCACACTAAACTTCCACCCAGCCCATGGTCTCTGGGTTCTTCCCTTGAAAATGTGAGGAATCGAATTCATGGACCAGAACGGTTGAGTTTTTGGAAAGCTTTATCACAGATTCGTAAGTGAAAGCTTAAGGAAAAGAGAAAACACAGGTCTTGTACAGAAGGGGTGGGTCACCTGAAGTAGGGTTCCATTCAGGGTTCTCATACTGGTGTTTATAAGGCTTTGCTGTCTGGAAGCATGGAGAAGGAGAAACTGGTCAGTCCAGTTGGCCCACTCTCAAGGTGACCAGGTGCCTCTCAGTTTTCATCACACCCTCAGGTACAGTTTCCAGGAAGGACGATTATTCCGGGGAAGAGAGATGATGAGAAGCCAGAACTCCCTCCTAATACTCCTGGCCCCTGGGGATGCAGGACCAAAACATGTTAGGCATCTAACATGGCATCTCTGGCCTTCAGCAAGAACAGAACTGATAACAGGAACAAGGACATCTTGGCCTTTAGTCAGAGAACAGCTTTCAGGACCCTCTACCCTGTAGAAGAGCACAAGGCCAGTTTCTATATCCTGTTCTCATTAATATCAAACATCTATTTGAAACAATACAGTTTTCTTTAACATCATCATGGTAACATTTACAAGCACTGAATGACTGTATTTTATCAAATGACTACTTGGAGGATACTGACACACTGGGATTTTTTTTTAATGGTTTGGGTCTTTTTTCTGATATTTATCTGAGTGTCACACAAAAGTTGTTAATTTTTGTAAGTATCTGTTCTTAACATTTATAATAAACATTCTTATATTTTTTCTCATTGGGCAGCCACTACCATAACAGTGAGAAGAATTCTATTTAAAAAATTGTTTATAGCTGGTGCAATCTTGTCTAAATTACATGATAATTATAAAAGTTACCTTTTTAATCACCAAGTTATTTTAATGGACAAATCCTAAAAGCTATTGTACTTGTTGTTTTTAGTTCTCTAGACTAAAGATTCTTCTATACTGAGGAGACATTTAAACATTTGCTTCATAAAAATTGCCTCAGTTGGTAAAAATTATGCTTTGTTTTTACGCATATTTTAAATACAATGATTCTGTGTCTTAAAAAGAAGAGTATACTGGGCAGAGGTGGTACACCCCTTTGATGCCAGCACTCAGGAAGCAGAGGCAGTTGGAACTCTGTGAGTTTGAGGCCAGCCTGGTCTACAGAGCTAGTTCCAGGGCAATTAAGGCTGTTACACAGAGAAATCCTGTCTCGAAAAACAAACAAACAAAAGTAATTGAGCATTTGCCTGGAAGTTTGTCTGTGTACTACATATGTGCCTGGTGCCCATGGAAGCCAGAAGAGGACATCGGATCCCCTGGAACTAGAGTAGCTGTGAGCCGTTGTGTGGGTGCTGAGAAATAAACCTGGGTGCAAGAGCAGCCAGTGCTGTAACCACTGAACCACCTCTCCAACCCTTGTGGCTTTATTTCAATCACATTTTGATACAATTGCTTGCTTTCCCAGACCTCCTACATTGCTTAAATCAAGTCTTTATGTTTACAGGGCTCATGCCTACATATTAATTTATTGTTACTATTTTAACTTTGATACCATTTACTATAATTGGGGACACTCTAAGTTAACTTGGCAATTCTAAATGAAAACATGGCCCTCACATCTGCAACCATTATTCTTTAAGTCACACTGCATTCTTGATTTCTTTTTTTTTTTTTTTTTTTTTTTTTTTTTGGTTTTTCGAGACAAGGTTTCTCTGTGGCTTTGGAGGCTGTCCTGGAACTAGCTCTTGTAGACCAGGCTGGCCTCGAACTCACAGAGATCCGCCTGCCTCTGCCTCCCAAGTGCTGGGATTAAAGGTGTGCGCCACCAACGCCCGGCCTCTTGATTGTTTTAATTCTAAGATTTTCGTGTAACTCTTATTTCAGAAACAAGGGGAGGGAGGAACAGACTGGATTAGGGTAATAGCCTCACATGATCCAGGAATTTATTTTGTAATGGCTTTGACAATAACTTCTCTGTCTCCCAAAAATCCACATTCCTCACTATTCAGCCCCATCTTTAACAGACCTGGGAAAAGTTTCCAGCCACATAGGACAACATTGTCACATACAAGAAACATGATGTGTGGCCAGTGTGATGCCGGTCCCAGATGCAGTGATGGTTCCCAAAGAAGCTGTACCTGTACTACAACTTCACCAAAGGAGCTGTGCTTACTCTTTGACCAAGCTTTGATTCTTACTGCTTCAGACTCCTCTGTAAACCCCCTGACAACTCAGTTTACCCACACTGTCATTCGGCATGCCACTGGGACTTACATGGGTGATGTTCTCCTGGTCTGTGGATCTGGATGTCAGTCTGGGACCAGGCCCATCCCAATCTACTACATCCCAGTCAAGCTCAAAGAACCATGAGGCTCAAATCTGTCCTATAAAATTATTCCTGTTTATTTTGTAAATACAAAGGGGGAAAGGCTGGGAAATTTAGACCATAGACCCTCCAGCTACACCTCCCCTGTGGCTGTGGTCTCTACTTCCTGCAAATGTAGCAGGGACTTATAAACAAATACTCTTCCTTACCTCTGCACCTCTGAGCAAGTAATTCTGATGCCTTTAAGTCATGGGCAGGTTCGCTTTCCCTGGGAAAACTTATGAAAGTAACAGATTTCTCTGAAAGTGGGCAGGTTTGTTCTGGCTTTCTAGCTCTTCTTGTCTCTCTTTTCTCCTTCTCCCCCTCTCCTCCCTTCTCCTCTCCTCTCCTCCCCTCTTCTCCTCTCTTCTCCTCTCCCCTCCTCCCCCTCTTCTTCTCTCCTTTCCTCCCCTCTCTTCTCCTCTCCTCCCCTCCTCCCCCTCTCCTTCTCTCCTCTCCTCCCCTCTTCTCCTCTCCCCTCCTCCCCCTCTCCTCCCCTCTTCTCCTCTCTCCTCCTCCCCCTCTCCTTCTCTCCTCTCCTCCCCTCTTCTCCTCTCCCCTCCTCCCCCTCTCCTTCTCTCCTCTCCTCCCCTCTTCTCCTCTCCCCTCCTCCCCCTCTTCTTCTCTCCTCTCCTCCCTTCTCCTCTCCTCTCCTCCCCTCTCTTCTCCTCTCCTCCCCTTTCTTCTCCTCCCTCCCCTCTCTTCCCTCCCCTTTCTTCTCCTCTCCTCCCCTCTTCTCCTCTCCTCTTCTCTCCCCTCCTCTCCCTTCCTCTTCTCTCCCCTGCTCTCCTCTCTTTTGTCTTCTTCTCATAGCCCTGCTGCATGTGACAGCTCTCTGTCCTGCTTTCCCCTCTTTTTTTCCTTTAAGTTACCTCTCCTACATCAAGGCCTCGTCATGGTCTCCATGGTTTCAGGCTTTCCCTTCTAACAAAGCCCTCTCTCGTGGTTTACTGTCACATTTAGTGTACACACCACACCCTCTCACTTCCCTTCCTCACCCTAGCATTAGCCACTGCTCTACACATTGGGTGGAATCAAAGTGTGGGGCTGTGTTCGTACCGTCATTTCCTCCTGGTGACTCCTGTCTCAAGAGACCTACAGATGACCACACTTTTTCTTTCTCCAGGACAGTGGTTCCCACTTCTCTTTCCCTCCCAAATGATTTGTGGCCCGTTTCAATACATGAGCTTCCCTTTGAGGTCAGTCTGACCTGAATAAATGGCCAGGTTGGATCCAGAGTGACACTAGTGTCACCTGCACAAGTGGAAAGGGTCTCACCTCTCAGGGAACACCCTGCCTAGAGTACACCTCACCTGACTCAGTCCAGTGAGATTGGTTGAGGGGACAATAGGGACGATTGTTGTATCCATGGGATGCTTTCTAATTATTCCAAGTGGCAAAGAAATGAAATCAGTCTTATGGAACACACACACAATGAGATTTTTATCCAGCCATAAATAATCAAATTATGCAATTTGCACGAAAGTGAATGGAACTTGAAAATATTATAGTAAACAAGGTGATCCCAGCTAAGGATATAGATCTTAGCTTCCAATTTCCCATGTACGCATGTCTATGTGAGAGTGACGAGCATAGAATCTAGAAAGACTACTTTCATCAGAAAATTGGCCTCTAGATTCTTTTTTTGTTTGTTTGTTTGTTTGTTTTTGGGGTTTTTTGTTTTGTTTTGGTTTTTGGTTTTTACGAGACAGGGTTTCTCTGTATTGTTTTGGAGGCTGTCGGTCCAGCCTGGCCTCGAACTCACAGAAATCTGCCTGCCTCTGCCTCCCGAGTGCTGGGATTAAAGGTGTGTGGCCTCTAGGTTCTATGCTCAGTAAATGTTACTTATACTATATTTAAAACCTAAAATGTCGTGATGGTTGGATTAGTGTTTTGACCTCTCTAGAGATCTTAATTTTCTGATCATGTTCTGTGAGGAGCTGCTGTTACAGTTGACTTCCTGTCCTGGTGAATAATGCTACAGAAAATGTTGTGGTGTGTGTGTGTGTGTGTGTGTATGTGTGTGTGTGTGTGTGTGTGTGTGTGTAGTTCTGAACACTTAACTGTTTCTACTGAAGTGTGCTTTTTTTATTTTGATCTTGATGCCTTTCCTCTTCATTGGCTTTCATTATGTCAAGTAAAATCTGCTAATAGAATAAAGACAACTTTCTAGGTGAAAATTGCACCTCTGGTAGGACCCAAACAATGGGTCTTGCTCCCTCCATTCCCTATGACTCAGCTGTGGGATGTCAAAATATTTGCTTAAATCTGACCCTCAGACTCTCAAAAGGAACTTATTTTTCTTTCTAACAAAATTTCCCTTTATACCCACTCCAAGATGCCATCTCATGGCCCGTTACGCTGTAACCATGCCCTCTTTTGGCATAATTTAGAAAATAACTCTGAGATCCCCTGCATCCAAGGCACCATGATCTCTCAGCTGTGAGAGGGATGTCATATGTGTCCCACTTGACTCCTACACTAGCCTGTCTCTTTAAACTTAGCCGCAGATGGCATTCTGGATGCAACATAAGCCTCCACCCAACCCAAACTTCTCTACACCATTCCTGCTTCCACCTGGTAATTCAGCTCCCGTTCCCTCCTATTTAACTCATCTGTCTCCCTCACATACTCACTTTAGAATTTCATATATGGAACTGAGGGGACAATTCTCCTCAGAGAATATCCTGCCCCTTCATGAGACTTAGTGGGGACTTTGGTACCATCTGGTTACCCCTTCTTTGTGACTGACGAGTCCCAAACACAATCCGAAGTATGGTCATTTAGCCAGGATCCCCACACTCTCTTTCAGGAATTCAAAGACCCACCGTGGCTTTTAGTCTAACCCAACAAGATATCGCTACTATCCCAACCACCCACTGCACACATAAGAAATCCTGTCTTTAGCACAGACAGGTTAATGGGCTCATACCTGGAATCTAGTTGTTACAGCCAAGCCACGCTCCTCTGGGGTTCCTCTGACATAGGAAGTGATGGGGGAAGGACACGCCAACTCCAGTATAAAACCCACTACTGTAACAGGTTGCAGGGATAACACTTGGAACGCCTTTGTTGTGGAAGTCAGCTGAAGCCTGGTCAAGCCAGCCTGGATGCACATTTCATATGCCAGTCCTCTCAAATTTTAAATATAAACTTCAAACAGCACACCAGGGGCCCCCAGATGCTCTCCCCATTTTGTTAAGCATGACCTCCAGTGTCTATAAGAGAGGTTGGGAATGCGTGAGAAGGGCCCAGTGGAAGAGTAAAGAGATAAACCTCGAGCACTGACCAGGCGTTGGTGGCTCATGCCTTTAATCCCAGCACTCAGGAGGCAGAGGCAGGCGGATCTCTGTGAGTTCGAGGCCAGCCCGCTCTACAGAGCGAGTTCCAGGACAGCCTCCAAAGTCACAGAGAAACCCTGTCTCAAAAAAACAAAAACCAACCAATTAAACAAAAAATATGGAGCACTGGATGCTGCTGCAGCAACTGCCCCGCCCAGTGCATTTCAGGCGTCTCTAGAGCTCCACCTAGTGACTGCCTACTGCAGTCTCGGGGAGTAGAATCAGCCATGGGACAGTTTCCATGGTCTTCCAGGAATGTCAAGACTGCATCTAATCTGAAATGAGGGACCACTGGAAGTGAGACACCCCCTCCACCCAGTGAGGGAGGGCCAGTCTCCAGCCAAGGACCTCACACCCAGGTCAAATGTAACTCAGAAATACAGCCTTTGCCTAGTATGTGCGAGATACTAGATTTGATCCACAGAAATGGAAGACAGTAAGGAGGGGGGAGAAGGGGGGAAGAGAAAGAGGGGAGACAAAACATGAACCAAAGATTCTTACATGCATACATACATACATATATACATGCATGCATGCATATATATACATATATATACATATACATATATATATATTCTACTGTTTCAGTGCTGAGGATGGAACCCAGGGCCTCACTCGTGCCAAGGAAATACTTTATCACTAAACCATACCTCTGGTGCCCTAGAAAAAGATGCTTTAAAGGCTATTTCATCTGGAAAGAGATTCCAGTGTACACTTCCTAGGATTTATTTGATTTTAATTATAATTGCATATATGTATCTGTCTGTAAAGGTACCTCTGGAGGACAGAGGTGTCAGATACTTCTGGAGTGGAGCCAACAACTGAGCCATCTCTCCAGCCTCAAGTATATATTTTGATAAGATGTCCTCAGCATCCATTTGAAAGGACAACTGTTGTGATGGTTGCTCAAGGGAGCAAGGCGTCATGGGTTTGTTTGTTTTTTTTAAAAGGTTTTTGAAATTATTATTATGTATTTAGGTACACGTAGGTGTGCATGCCACCACAAACATGTGGAAGTCAGAGGATTTGGCAATTGGTTCTCTCCTGCCACCAAGAGGGTCCCAGGAATCAAACTCAGGTAGTCAGGTTTGACGGCAAGCACCTTTACCCTCTGAGCCATCCCACTGGCCTAGTGTTTCTGTTTTAAAGTACACAAGGCTCTGTGATTATCCTTCTATACTTTGCTCTTTCTATGGCTCTAAAACTTCTTTCTTATCCATCGAACTATCAACACACTGGTCCCAGTTCTAACAAAATCGATCAGGGCCAACCCTATAGTCCACCCACACACAGTGTTTCAACTTCCGAGCAGCAAGTGAGGCATCTTATCAGAGGAACCTGGGCTTCCCAACACAGGCAAAGGCCTAGGGAGGGGGGCATGCCTAACACTACAACAAGCAAAACAATAAGCAGCACACAGAGAGGCAGGGGGTCCACAGAACCAAGGGATGCAGAGTGTAAGAAAACTTAAACGAAGCAGCCTTTTGTAGACTTAGTCAAACAGGATTTATATATGGGAAGTTAACATGGCCCTGAGTTGGGAAGTGGACCCAGGTTGGGTTTTCTCAGACACTACAAAGTAAAAGCAAACCTGGGATGATCTATTTGAGAAGCCCTTATCTGAAGCTCCACATGTGGTCTGTTCTCAGCTTCAAGGACCTTTACACATCCTCACTGATGGTCAGCGAGCTTTCTGTGAACATAGAGGTTTGAAGATCAGTGTGTCTCTATCCCAAGACCTGATTCAAAGCAGTTCTGTAGGGTCACAGTGTCATACCGCACTGCTGAGTAAGGACAGCCTTCAGGAACGGTTTCCAAGGCAAAGGCGGTTCTGAAGCCAGCAGGTGGCTCCGCATGCCCGGGTGGTCCAGAAGCTCAATCTCAAGTGCCACCAGGTTACCTTGTTTTCCCTTGTGAAAACAGATGACACCAAGATGCAGTCATTCTTGTCAGACCCAGACAAAACTAGAGCTGGAAGTGTTCACTGATGGGTCATCTGTCAAGAACTTTGTAACAACTGGGAAGAGGCTTTTTTTTTCTTGTTTTAGATGTATCTCATGAATTGCTAGTTTCAGAATATGCACAGATTTCTGTAGCAATGCTTACTTCTAATATCCTTTAAAGCTGCTACAATTGAAAGCGATGCTCTGAAGGGACTACTTGACCCAAAGTAGCACCCCCACCTGATGCCAGTTCCTGCCGTTAGTGTGTGAAGAGACCCCATGGCTGCTGCGGCTCTAATACAGGAAAACATTTAATTAGGACTAGTTGACAGTTTCAGAAGTTTAGTCCATCTGTCATCATGATGGGAAGCATGGCGGCATGCAGGCATACATGGTAGCTGAGAGTTCTACATCCAGTTTAGCAGATAGCAAGACCTCAAAACCCACCCCCAATGACGCACTTCCTCCAACAAGGCCACGCCTCCTAATAGTGCCATTCCCTATGAGTGTGAGGGGGGTGTGGCATTTTTCTTTCAAACCACCACAGTCTCCAAGACCAATGAACTCTGCATCGAAGTAGTTGTGGGTCCATTTTTTTTTCGTTTTCCTTTTCAGTGCTGGGGTTCAAACCTAGGGT